GCAGCCTGAACGCCACCCACTCACCTGGAAACACGACATTTTTTGGGAAGGAATCAGCTGTCTGCCTCCTGCAACACAGGGCAATCCCAGGGAACCTCTGGAAGTTCCTAGAGTCTGGAGAGATGGCACATCACTTAGAAGAGGTATTTTGTTTTGCAAGGACAGGAGGGAATGGCTTCCCCCTCCCAAAGGGCAGGGGTGGAGAGGATATTGGAAAAGAATTCTTCCCCATGAAGGTGGTGAGGCCCTGGAATGGAATTCGCAGAGAAGCTGTGGCTGCCACATCCCTGGAAGTGTTCAAGGCCAGGTTGGATGGGGCTTGGAACAAGTCCCTCCACGGCAGGGGGACGGAATTCCATGATCTTGAAGGTCCTTTCCAACACAAACCAATCCAGGATTCCATGATCCCTCTTCCTTCCAGGCTCACAGCATCAGAAGGAACTTCAGAGCCTCGCTGCAGCTGGGAGAGCCTTTATCCCAAGGCTTTATTCCTGAGCCAAGCCAATCAAATCATAATTGCAACTTAATCCCAACTTGGATTAAGAACATTAATGAAATAAATTATTGGGATTTCTCCTGCCCCAGCCTGCAATGGCTCAGGAAAAAAAGTCTGGAGAAGCCAATCTCAGAGCCTGGGACAACTCAGCTGAGCTTTTCCTGATTCTTTATTTTGTTCTGAGTAACAGAGGTGTCCACTGGCAAAAAATAGGGATAGGACGAGCCAGGCTGGATGTTACCCACTCATTCCTCGTGGGAGACCCAGGATGTGCAGCCATCCTCACCCCAGAGCCAGCATCAGCTCTCCTTCAGTGGGTACAAACCTGAGATCCTGGAGTTTCATCCTTCCTTGGAATCCTTTCCACTGCTCCTCATTAACGAGTTCTTCAGTTTTATCCCAAGGATCCAATTTCTCCCAGGTTGCTTTCCTTGGCATCAGCACTTCCAACCACGTGGCTCTGGAGTTCAGGCTGATTTTCCATCCATCTGAGCCTGGCTGAGTGTGAAGGGACAGAAATCCAGAGAGCTCTTCTAGCACACGTTTTATTTATGCCAAACCACAGCCACGCTCTTGTCTCCCACTAAAAAAGGTTGGAAGAGGAAACGCCTGCATTCGCCGAGTTCAGAGAAAACAGCCACAGCCTCAAATATCTTTCCCCTTTCCTCTCAAGCTAACAAAACATTCCCTTGAAAGTTTCTGTTCTGTATTTCCCAATTGTTTTCTCCTCATTTTTGCAACATCAGACCTCACAAGGAGAAGGGCAGGGAGGAAAATCCCTCTGGAAATCCTTCACCTTTTTCTTCCCCAAAACTCCACAGGGGTTTTCCACCGCTGCCAGGCCACAGGTGGGTGGTTTTCCCTTCATCCCATCACTCCAGGGACTGGATGCAAGGGAGAAGCAGCAGCAAATGCTCCATCACCTCCCCTTCCCTCTCAGCACCAATTAAGATAAGGAGAGATGGAATTTTGGCTGATTTAAGTTTGAAGGCCCCGTCATTAAGCAGATGAGAGAGCAGCCAAGCAGAGCTGATGAGTTCCCTTCCCCAGAGTGGCTGAGTCACCATTCCTGGAGGGATGTAAAAGACATGGAAACGTGGCACTTGGGGACATTGTCTTGTGGTGAATGCAGCAATTAACATTTGCACTTGATGAACTTAAAGGGCTTTTCCAACATAAAGGATTCCATGATTTAGATCATCTGGTGGGCCAGGAGGGGAGGAGCCCTGCCAACCTGAAACTACAGAATGTGGCTCTGGAAAACAGGAGGCTGATGAGTGTTTTTTTTTCATCCATGAGGACTAAAAATCTGTTGGACACAGAGAGAGGTGGGAAGGCTCATGACGTGCACAGCTCTGGCCAATGGATTTTATGTTCCCAAATTTCCAGGATGCTGATACCGAAGCAAGGATGGATCCCACTGGAGCTTCCAGCTGCTCAAACAGCTTCAGCAGGAAGAGGAATAGCTCGTAGAGCCCCCAGCCATCCTCAGACAGGGGCACCAGAGGCACTGAATCCAGCTCTGGGATCATCAGCACAAGGATCTGGAGCTGCTGGAGCAATTCCAGAGGAGGCCATGGAGATGATCCAAGGGCTCTGCTGTGGGGCCAGGATGGGAGAGCTGGGAATGTCCAACCTGGAGAAGAAAAGGCTTCAGGGACACCTCAGAGCTCCTCCCAGCACAGGAAGGGGCTCCAGGAGAGCCGGAGAGGGACTTGGGACAAGGGATGGAGTGACAGGACACAGGGAATGGCTTCCCACTGCCAGAGGGCAGGGATAGATGGGATATTGGGAAGGAATTCTTCCCTGTGAGGGTGGTGAAGCCCTGGCAGAGGTTACCCAGAAGAGCTGTGGCTGCCCCTGGATCCCTGGAATCGTCCAAGGCCAGGTTGGACAGGGCTTGGAACAACCTGGGATAGTGGAATATGTCCCTGCCCATGGCAGGGGATTGAATTCCATGATTTCTAAGATCTTTTCCAACCCAAACCATTCCATGATTCCTTGATTTTAAGTTCCAAGTCCCAGAACTTGGGGCTAAATGACAGGCCGAGGAGGGATGGAGTTGCTGCCTTTAACAGGGACAATTACGGAGGTGTGTCCAAGGATAATCCGGCTCTGCACAAAGGACAAGCAGCCGCTTCCAAGACACACCAAGGGAAACTCCAAAAACTCCAACCAGACATAGGGAAGGAAAAGCTTTGCCAGGGCAGTGATTCATTTCCGAAACAATGACCCTGAGAGACGGCAGAGGAATCCCCCTCCACAGAAACATTGAGATTAAAACCCTGAATGACCCAGGCCAGAGCCGAGTCACTTTTGAGAGGGTTGAACTCCAGCCCTCCAGAGACCCTTCCCAACCCTGCATTTCTGGGAAGAGTCTGGGAAACAGCAGCAGATACCAAAGCAAGACAAGAGGAACTTCTCACCCCTTTCTCCCACCCCCTAAATGTATCTTCTCAAACAGCTCCTCCATCAACACTGCCCAGTGTAGGACATCCCCAGGCTGCAAAATGGGAACAAACTTCCCAGCCCTCACATGGGTTTTTTTGGGATCTTTTCCATTTGTTTGGGAGGTTTTTTTTTTGGTTTATTAAAGATCTATTATGCACCTAGAACACCCCTAAACTGATCCAGTACCAGCCTGAACAGTCATCTTTGTCCCTGGTAGATTTTTGGGGAGCTCTCCTCCCACCCACTTCGATAAAAAAAAGGCATTTATGAAAAGCAACTTAGGCAACCAAGAAGTCACAGGGGAAGGTGTCATTTCTGGTTTTGTCACAAACCACAAGTCCCCTTTTTAAATAAAAAGGGGAAGTCATCACAATGGAAAAAATGCTAAACTTTTGACTTTGAATTTCACCAAATGCTGTCATGATCTTGGGTTACCAAAGGCATCAAACGCAGGTTTTGCTCTGCCTACATCATCATAGAAAGCTGGAAAAGACCTTTAGGATCATCAAGTCCAACCACCATGTTCATCACTAAACCATATCTTCAAATGCCATTTCCAGAAGTTTCTTTGAGCACTTCCAGGGATAAAGATTTCAGAAAAAACATTGGGAAAATGGAGCTGAGCCCATGCCTGGAAAGGGCCAAAGTGAGGAGGGGTCATCTGAGCACATCAGCATTGCTTGGAGCCACCAAATAACCCCAAATTATTGGGGAGGGAGAGGGATGCTCCTCTCTGGGACAGGAGTATGATCCTGCTCCACGGGGTTCTGAGCAGTAGGAAAAGCTCCTGGACATTGGGCCATGGGAAATGTCTATGGAATATTGCCAGAAACACTTGGAGTCCTGCAGGAAAAACAGGGTGAGGATGGACATGACCATCTGGGACAGCAACAACCCAGCCTTTCTGGAATTACTCATTTATTTTATAGGATCCCAGAGTGGTTTGGATTGAAAGGAACCTTAAAGCTCATCCATGTGCAGGGACATCTCCCGCTATCCAAGGTTGCTCCAAGCGCCCCACCCAACCTGGCCTTGGAAACTTCCAGGGATACAACACCCAGAACCACACACGGAATGAGTTTCAAAAAGCCTCCAGTCATGGATACTCAGAAAAAAATAAACTACTCCCAGTTTTAATGAAATGCATTCCAAGACCTCCATTTCCAACCAAAAACAGCAACAATTTCAACATGAGAATGAGTGGAAATAAACACATGGGAAGCACCAGGAGCTTTGGAATACAGAGCCCTGGACAGCAGCCCTGAGGTGCCAGAGGGTTTTCCTGCCAATGCAACAGTTTGCTCACACCTGGGATTCTCTGGGATGTGGGAATTCTGCCAGGAATGTGCTGATAACTACCTCTTTTGGGATGTGGAAAGCAGCCAGCTAAGCAGCAAACACAACCAGTTTATGCTGTTAATCCCTGCCTGCTCCATTCCCAGAGTGGGAAGGATGATGCCAAAGGTGCCATCACAGGAGCAACTCCAGGAATACTGGGCACACACCCCACAGAGCCTGGCCCAGCATTATCCCATTTCCTAGGAGATTCCCCATTTCCTAAACCTCTGTCTGGACAGTTCAGTTCCTGCTCTGGATACAGGAGCTGAGCCAGAGCCAAGTGAAGAAAATAAGGAAATACACATGGCCTCAAGCGAGATGTCCTCTCCCAGACAAAAATTTAAACCGCATGGGGCTTAAAATAACACTTGGCTCATGACCAAAATTCAGGTGAATTTTAACCCCTTGCAACGTGAAACTGCTTTTAAATCCAACATCTTCCCTTCTGCCTTCTCCTGACATGACACAAATTCACTCCCACGTTTTTTCCATTTAATATCCCTGCAATTGCACAACTTTCTCCTCTCCTGGAGGTGAAAGGGCGCAAAGTCCCCCGAAATGTAAAACCCTGAAATTTTTTCCTTTCCCCCCAGTGTATCCCTAACCCAATCCTGGGTTTTATATTGCAGGATTTATATATATACATATATCCGTTTTATGCTGTCTTGTTAATCAGCACAATTAAGGCTCTTTTTAATCTCCTTCCAAGACTCCAGAGGAAGAAAGAAAAAAATCCCATGTACTTGGCAACTCTGAAGATGAATTAAGAGCGCCCAAAGTCCAAAATCCCAATCAGAATTACCTGTTTCAACTGGAAATCCAGGTGTTTGGTTTTCCATACAAAATACAAAAGGCACCACATTCAGACAACCCTCAGCCCCCAGCAGCAGCAAATTAAAAAAGAAAAAGCTTCCCAGCACCACCAAATGAGCAGGATTTGGAATTTAATGTGGAAGGCACCAGCTCAGAATTCAAAGTCCTCGCCAGCCATGTCGATGGCCCAGGCAAACTTCTCCCTCTGGGTCTTGTTGTAGATCCTCTCGATAGGAATCCCAAATTTCTTGCACCTGTGCAAACCACAAGACACCAGTGGGGACCAGTTATCCCACAGCCTCCTTCCTACTGCACCTCTGGAAGTGTCCAAGGCCAGGTTGGATGGGGCTTGGAGCAACCTGGAACAGTGGGAGGTGTCCCTGCCCATTGCACACCACAAATTTTAAGGTCCTTTCCAGCCCCATCCCATGATTTCACACCCACGATTTACCAAGCCACACTAATCCTGGGATCCAGGTAGTTCAGCTTGGATGTGCCCAGAGCTATTTGCTTGTTCTCCTCCTTGTCTGTGGCCTGGATGTTCAGCTTGGCCAATTGCTCCTCCAGCCTCTTCAACAGCTTCTTCTTCTTCTCCACATTGCTGAGGGCAGAGAAGGAACAACACAATGTCCCAAAGCCCAGAAATTCCCTGGAATGGCAGAGCCCAAGGGGCCTTTCAGCACTAACCCATTTCTCAAGGGCTTGGATCTTGTGAGGTGCTTTTTTAATATTAAAAATTAACAATAAGAAATGGAATTTCCACCAACAAAGGTGGGCAAACAAAATCCAGCATCCTGGAATGGGTTGCCCAGAGGAGCTGTGGCTGCCCCATCCCTGGAAGTGTCCAAGACCAGGTTGGACAGAGTTTGGAGCAACCTGGGAAAGTAGGACATGTCCCTGAAGGGAACCATACACAAGATCTTGATCATCTTCCAAACTTTCATGGGACAAGAAGGACCCAATCCCAAACATGGGCATTTCTGTTTTGACAGGATCCATGAGTCCTCTGGATCTCTCTTCAAGAGGGGGATTCCAAGGAAAAGCCACTCACTCTTCTGCTTCAGCATCATTTTTGTCTTTAAACTCATCTTCAGCTTTTTTCAGTTCTTCCTGGGCTTCCTCCACTTGTTTCTTCTTGGCGTCAATCTGTGAAAGTGAAAAAGTCAGACAAGACTTCCAACCTCCCTGAAAGTTTCAGCTTCCTCCCTCTTTTCCTTCACACACCATTCCTCAATTTCTTGAGGAACCCTACTTCCCCATTTTTCCCTGCAGCATTTTATGGGCTCAAACTTTTTTTAGCATCTTCTAAAATATCATCCAGGCCCAGGTACCACAAATGCTTGGAGCTCCTAAATCTGTTCATCTTCTGCACCTGCCTGAGACTGAGGGACTTATGACAGCACCAGAGCCCTCAGAAAAGCCCCAGTCCATCAATAGGGTGTGAGCAAAACCTGAGGACAATTAAAAGTGGTAATTTATGATATTTTCAAGCTGCTTCTCCTACAAGAAAGACAGGAAAAACCTATTTCCCTGATCTTGATCCAACTGGGACAGAGATGCCATCACAAAAGGCCCCCAGCTTGGTTTGAGGACAGAGAGTGATGAAAAATGCTCCAAATTCATAAAAACTCACCCAAATTCTGTGCCAAGCCGCTTCCTCCAGCATTTGAGGTCACCACATCCCTCCCCACCCCTGGGTTGCAATCCACTATTCCCAGGACATTCCCTGATGTTCTTGACCAAGGTGATTCCTTCAGACATCACCCCAGCCCAAAAATAAAACTCAGAGACCAGATTAGGTCTGGGACCTCTCAGCTGGGTCTGTCTCACCTTTTCCTGGAGGACTTGCATGGACCTGGCAAAGGTCTTTGGTATGGACCTCTGATGGTTGCACAGGATGGCCACGGCTCGGTTGGCCCGGTTGTAGGACAGGAGTTTTCCTGCAACGTTGTCTTCAGCTGGAAAGAAATGAAAACTTCACTCTGACTCCATTCCAGGAGTCGGGAAAAGCAGGGAATACAGCAGAAGGAAAGGCAAACAAGTTGCCATCGCATTCTCTCTCCAGGGAGGGCAATAATGGCTGTGGGAATTGGGGAAGGACAACTGAGCATCACAATCTGATGCTGTGACTCATCCCTCACATACCCAAGGAGGCAGAAATAGCGCAACCAACCAGCAACACAAGGAAAAGAGGGGAAAATATTCCCATCCTGGCCATCAGTTAGTCAGAGCATCCCTGAGTTCACCATTTCTCACTTACCAACATCCCTGACTTGCTGCTCACCCCCATTTGTTACTCCCACCCCGCTGTGTGAAGCATCACCTGCCCAGGTGGGACATGGGCAGTTTTAGGGATCCCAAGAATGGACATTCCTGAGCCCACCATGCTCTTTGGTCCCCCCCATGCTCTGCCAACACCACAACCACTGGAACTCACGGTTGGTGAGGGCCTTGAGCTGCTCCTGCAGGGTGATGGAAGCGTTGTAGGTCCTGAAGACTTTGGCCGTCAAACCATCCATGAGGTGCTGGAGGTGTTTGTTTAGGAAGTTTGTCTGGAGGAGGGAAAAGAGGGAAAAGTGTGGGGGAACTCACAGCAGGAGCTCTAGTGACAGGAAAAGGAGGAATGGCTTCAAACTGACAAAGGGTTTGATAAGATATTGGGAAGGAGTTCTTCCCTGCGAGGCTGGTGAGGCCCTGGAATGGAATTCCCACAGAAGCTGTGGCTGCCTCATCCCTGGAATTGTTCAAGGTCAGGTTGGGTGGAGCTTGGAGCAACCTGGGATAGTGGAAGGTGTCCCTGCCCTTGGCAATGATTCGGAACTTGACAGTCTTTGGGGTCCCTTCCTACCCAAACCACTCTATGATTCCACAAAGGAATAGAACAAGCAGAAGCCAGGACAAATTTCTTTTTAGACTATTTTCTGCCTAAGCCACCAAAATTAGGCATTAACAAAAAATTAAATCCTGCAGCTTGTAGAGATACTTGTGGGGTCAGGTCATCATGTACCCAACGCTGTTCTAAAATTCCACCTAAATCCACCAAAAAAATCTCTCTGGAAGTCAACAATTTCTGCCCATCCATGTCCAAGAGGACATACATAGGCACTTGGGGACATGGTTTAGTAGTGGACCTGGCAGTGCTGGGTTAATGCTTGGATTTGGTGATCGTAGAGGTCTTTTCCAAACAATCATTCTTGATCTCACACCCAATATCACATCCCTGTCCTGCAGAGAACGTGGGTCTGCTCATCAAACCCACATCCCATCCCAAGGAAGGCGAAGGAGGCAGTTTTTCCAGGAGAGAAGGCAGCACGTCCCTCCAGCAGCCTCTCCCACTTCTGTGGAGCCCTAATGAGGCGCAAAAGCATCAAAAAGCTGAGGTCTGGTACCTCCAGTAATTCTCCAAAATGTGGGCAGACCTTCCCAGGCTACAAAAAGCCCAAGTGGGTGAGCTGGAGGAGGGGAGGAGCAGGAATCCAGCTCCTCAGCAGGGACACAGGGAAGCAGAGACACTCCAGAGTGCAGAAAGAGGCTGGAAAACCTACAGGGTGTTCAGACAGTGACAATGGTGTCCCCCGGGAGAACCAAGAGGTCAAATAAGGCAAAAGGATGACCACCAAAGGCAGCCAAGGGTGTCATGGTTTGGCTTCAGGGCCACCAGTACTCTTTGGAAAGCTTCAAGGTGACAACTCACAGAGAGCTGGTCAAAGAGGTCATCGGTGGGGTCCTTGTTCTTCATGAACAGCTGCAGGTTCTTGAACACCTGAAGAGGAGGAAAGGACAGCCCCGGTCAGGGCCAAGGAATGAATTGCTCCCAGACATCTCCCTCATCTCTCTCTCCTCCTCCAGATGGACTCTGATTCACCCTTGTGTTGGCACATCCCACCAACCTTCTCAACTTCAAGGTGCCACTGGGTGTTCCCCCCTCCACATTTCCCATCTCTGACATTCCAGTTTCTCCACAAACACCATTAAGGTCTTCTTTCCCATGGGCAAAGGAAAATCATTCAATATAAATGGAGACATCTCAACTCCTGATGCTCACGAGATAATTGAGGATGCTCCAGCAAGAGGTGGGACTTCTCCCTCGTGGTTCATACGGTAGAACCACCTTGGAAGTTCTATCCCAAAATTTTTCCTGTTCTCCAGGGTTAAAGCACACCTTGGTAGCAGGTTTTGTATGGAAATTTGGGACTGATAAACACCGAGGGAATCCAGATAACCAAGCACTTCCTTTATTCCTCACTCACCTGCTTTTCCACGGACACTTTGTTGTAGTAACGGATGGAGTCTTTCCCAAGGAAGTCGAACTCCACCACGTGCTCCTGCCCATCCAGCTGGGGGTGCAGCTGGATGTGCTCCACGCGCAGAGAGCAGCAGCCAACTGTGTCCGCCGTCTCCCCTTCCTCCTTCTCATTCCCAGCTCGCAGGGCCAGCTGGAAGGAAATAAGGAGTCATCCATCCCATGCCATTCCACCTCAATTCCCCCTTTCCCAGGTTGTTAAAGTGGATCAAGACTAGAGGAGATCGGACCATCTCCACCTATGGATTCATAGAAGGATTTGGAAAGGACCTTCAAGACCACTTGGCTCCAACCCCCTGCAGTGGGCAGGGACACCTCACTAGAGACAATTTTCATCTTCCACGCGTCTGGAAATATTTGAATCCAGGCTGGATGGGGCTTGGAGCCACCTGGTCAAGTGGAAGGTGTCCCTGCCAAAAGGAGAGGGTTGGGATGAGATGATCTTGAAGGTCCCATCCAACCAAACCATTCCAGGATTCCATAATCATCCCTAGATTCTGCATATGGAGCCACCCTGGGTTGCAGAACCAGCAAACACCAGAAGCTGTACAGTGGGGTGGATGAGGGAAGTGAATTCCCAACTTCCACATGGATGGGGAACTGGGGTGAGGCTGTGGATACCTTATCAATGAAGTAGAGGGCCACTGCTCTTTGCCTCTTCTTTATCTCCTTGGATTTCCAGTCTCTCCTGTACTGAGCCCGGATTGTGTGGACAACATCCTTCAGGCGCCGAGCCACCTCGTATTTCTGCCAGTCCTTCTCCCCCTGGAATGGGAAACCAGGATATTTCCCGTTCCACGCCCCATCTTTATTCCACCCCTACCCTGCTCTAGTCAAATCCTGCTCTAGAAACACCTCCAGCATCTAAATCCTGCTCAAACCCCATTGTTTTCTTGGGGAAAATCCGTGAAGGGAATAAACTGGAAAAGAAACAACCCATCCAGGGTTTCTGTGCCCTCTGCTGGCCATGTTGGATCTAGATCCCGGCCAAGTCAAGGTGTTCTCCACCAGCCAGAGCATGGAAAAAGACCAAGTGGTCAAACCATGGCCAAAGGTGGCTCCTTGGACATCAGTGTGGACTGACAGAGCACTTGCTCAGTTGTGTCTACCTGGGCAGCATTCCCACTTTCCTTGAGCCCTTGGAAATAGCCTCAAATCCCCTTTCTCTTCCCACAGAGTTCAATCCCATCTCTTCCTACCCTCCACTTCCTGGTATAAATTAAGCCAGCTCTGGTCCCTGTGGATCTTCTTAGCCCCTGTGGCTCCTTTCAGCCCCTGACTGGCTTCCAGTAGCCTTCCCTGGACACACACGAGCAACGTGGCCCCAGGATGACTCTGCCAGGAGCAACCCATTCCTTGGGATAAGCTTGATGCCTCACAATCATCTGTCCATTCCCTCTCACACCTTCATTTTGTTTATCCACTTTTAAGAGAAGAGCCAGGAAAAAAAAATAAAATTGTTGCTATTCCACATCCTGTCTTTCCCAGATTTTTTCACCTCACCAAGGGCACCATTCCAACCTTCAGCTTGGAGCTGGGATTCAGCATGATGTACTTCAAGGTGTTCTGGATGTTCTCTGTCCACGAAGCCAGCCAGGTGACCGTGTTGTCAAAGCGCACCTCCTTCCACCTGTGACCTTCCGGGGGCTCGGGAATCTTGGAATCCCTGTGGAGAAAGCAGGATTAGAGCCCTTGAAGAATGAAGTTTTCAGTGAGCCAAGGATGGTCACCACATTGAGAAAAACATGGAATCCACCTAGAATTACTCCACAACATGGAATTATTAAAGTTGGAAAAGTCCTCCAAGATCGAGTCCAGTCATGAACCGGCACTGCCACAAGCACCAAACCATGTCCCCAAGTGCCACATCAACACAGCTTTCACATCCCTGCAGGACTGGTGACTCCACCACTGCCCTGAGCAGCCTCTTCTAGTGCTTGACAATACTTTCTGTGGAAAAATTTTTCCCCAATATCCAACCTAAAGCTCCTCTGGCACAACTTGAGGCCATTTCCTCTTCTTCTACAATTTTTTTTTCTGGAAGAAGAGACCAAGCCCTATGTGGCTCCACCCTCCCGTCAAGGAGTTGTAGAAGGTCCCCCACTCCGAGCCTCCTTTTCTCCAGGCTGAGCCCCTCCAGCTCCCTCAGCTGCTCCTGGTGCTCCAGACCCTTCCCACAATCAGGAATTTATCACTTGGATGCTGGGAACAGGAGGAAAACTTGCTGGACTGATGGGGGATGTTTTTAAATCAAGGTCTTCAAATGGGTGGCTTAAGACCAGTCCAGCTCACAGAACTCAGAGGGAAAAGGACTCTCAGGATATGGAAAACAGGGATTTTAGAAGATAGAAAACCCCCAACTCTGGGCAGAGGAAGCCCCAAGAGCTCAGCGCTTTCAAGGACAGCCCACCTGCTGCAGTTGATGATGACATCTTCTGGCATGATCCTCTTCTTCAGCATCCCCATTTTGGGGTGCTCCCCACGGCCACGGAAGAGCCCTGGAGGTTCCGTTTTGAAGTTGCCAATCTTCTCCCGGTGCCCATCCATGATGCAGTATCCATATTCCTCCTGGATCTTATCTGCCTCCTCCTTCAGCTTCTGAAACCAGGACACCACAAAAAAAACCCAGAATGGTTTGGACTGGAAAGGATCTTTAACATTCCAGCCAAGAAGTTTAAGAGGCCATCATTCCCTTGGCAAAGTCCACAATCCTCTGGAGAGGGAAGGACTCCAAAACATGATCCAAGATGACTGGCACCCTGCAAAGCCATGGAATGTGCAGGAACTGCTGATAAAATTCAGGAAGAGGCAGGCAATGGCCATGGAGACAGATCTGGATTAAAGAAGTCCAAGCTCAGGGCACACCACCAGAAAAGACAACAATGAAGAGCCAAAATTCCCAAAACTGGACCCAAAACGTGTCACAGGAACCAGTTCCTCACCTGCTTCTCCTCCTTGGGGAGTGCCTTGCGGGCCTCATTTTTGTCCACAAAATATTTGTGGATCTCCCTGAAGTCGCATTTGTCCAGGTCCTTGATTATCTCTTGCTCCTCTGAGGTCATTTCCTGGGAAAGAGAGGAGAGGGGCTGGGAAAAGCCAGGAGGCAAAACTAATTCCACATGGAGCTGCTGCTTGTGCCTGTCCTTGGAGAAGGGAATAGAGACCCACATTCCAGCTCTTTGAAAAAAGACAGTTCTGGGGTGGAAGAACCTAATATGGAAAAAAAAATCCCCAAACACAACTGCAGGGACAGCACCAAATGTATTTGGGAGGTGGAAACATTCCCTAGAAAGAGTTTTGTGTTGTTCTGGGATCAGAGGTCATTCCTTTGTTGTCCCAAACTGGTTTTGGAGCTGTTTGCAAGATCCACCACCCATACCCATCACTAAAACTCAGAGGGAGCACAGAAAGAAAATCCCAGCCCAAACCCACAAAAAACAAGGAAATAAATCAGGATTTAGAGCCTCATAATTATAAATAAGGAACAAATCCCCCCATTCCCTCCATCCCACACCACAGCCTGGGGCTGATGGGTTTGATGGACATCAAGGAGCCCTCCCAGGGAACGTACCTTCCTCCAGTCATGGAAGAAGTTGTTCTGGAAGACCTCCTTGGTGGTGTACTCATGATCCAACATTTTGGCATAAAATGTGGCAATTTCCTCCGTGGCCAGGCTCAGCTTCAAGGGTTTTCCTGGGAAAAGAGAGGCAGGGACACCTTCCACTATCCCAGGTTGCTCCAAGCCCTGTCCAACCTGGAACACTTCCAGGGATGGGGCAGCCACAGCTTCTCTGGGCAGAATCTTGGATTATTGCTTAGATTTTTCTAAGGATCTTGGATCACTTCTTGGAGGCAAAGCTACCATCCCCTCCTGAGCTCTGGCTGGAGAAATACAACAAAACCAAGGAATATCTTGACTCATCCTAGGAATTACTTGGAAATAACTTCTTTTTTAGGAAAAAGTCCTCTGCAGATGTCCAGGGAATGGTTGATTCCTACTTGAACCACCATTTTTTGGGATTTCTGGACCGAAGGGAATGAAGCCTTGGAGCAGCCCCATGGCAACCCCCGCATACCAACTCATCCGTGAGCCCTTCCTGCTTGGGGTTGTTACCAAACACTTTTCCATCCAAGAACGGTGACATTTTTCAGGGAAAAAGTCAACATCAAAGATCCCAAAGTCACCAGCCCAGATCCACAACACCTCAAAGATCACAGAGAAGGTCTAAAGCCTGTCAAGGCTTCTCCTCATGGAGCCAAAATCCCTGAGAGCCCCATGGATGTCCCAGCAGTGCCCTCCGGTGCTGCCAGGCGCCCCCTTGTCCCAAAGTGGCCTTTTTCCTACTGCAAAAAAATATGGAAAATCCCAGGGAACTGAGGAACACCAAGGGAATGTGATCCCTTTCCATCTCCAGCATCCCTTGGCTGACCCCCCAATGTCCTTCTTTCCCCCCTCCCTTTGATCCATCAGAAATGAGCTCAGGGATGAACTGAGAGCAGGGAATGGCAGGAAACCCAGTGGGAATGGCAGGAAAACACGGACGCAAAATTTGGCTATTGGATCTGTCCTGCCAGTGACACCCTGAGCTGCTCTAAGGTGATGTGAGGTGACCCTGGGGACATCAGGATCTTGGAGCAACCCTGTCAGATCCCTGGATGTGTCAGTCACTGAGGCCATGGATCAGTAAAATCCCGTTTTTCCAGCTTGTGGGAAAGCATGCATGAGCTGACAACGCTCAACCCCAAAATGCAGCTTAGTGAGCAAAAACAGCCATTAGGATCAGCTCCCCCAGATCCCCGTAATTCCAGCCACGTGTAAGATCCTCCAGCTTTAACCCATGGTTTTTCCAACAGGATATTCATCTTCCCTAAGGAGAGGGCACCACCCCAAGCCCCAGATCCCATCAGAGCCGTACCATCGTAATAAAACTGCACATCCTCAGGCAGAGGCTCGTAGAGGGGCACAAAGTAGGGCCCTCGGTGCTCCAGCTGCATCCATTTGACTCCATCTTCCTTCTTCTCCTCTTCCCACCTGGAACAGACACACAGGAATCCATAAGAATATCCCAAATCTGACATCTCCCCGCAAGGTCACACTGGGGAAATGCTCAGAGCAATGACAGCTGGCACCAAATCCATGTGAAATCCCATTTTTTCTGCTGCTGCCTCAGTTTCCCTGTTCTTTAAAGCAAGGAAAACTGGAATGGAATCCATGAAATCGAGGTGTGGTGACATGGAAGAACTCAGGGGGAGAGTGAAGAGATCCTAAAAGCCACCTCCTTCCAACTTCTTTCTATGGATAGGGATGCCTTCCGCTAATCCAGGTTGCTCCCATCCAATCCAAGGAATATTCCCAGGGATGGGTCAGCCAAGGCTTCTCTGGGAAATCTGGGCCTCATAAATATTTATAACTTTGATTTTAATGCAAATAAGATCTTAAGGAATCTTCCCCCTGACGGAGCAAATGGGATTTTAAAGCCACTACAAGTTTTAATTGTGAGGATTTAAAAATAAACCACACCAAACAAACAAACAAACAAAAAAGCAATAAAAAATCCAACAGAATTAAATTTAAAAATTAAAAAAATAATGTCCAAAAAATCCAACCGGAAAAGCAGGACTCCAAAAAGGGGGATAAAACCACAGGTTAGGGTCAGAGGAAAAGCGCTGGTGACAGCAACAGCAAGGCTGGCACTGGCCCCTTAATCCCAGCATCTCCAGGAAAAAATTTAAAAAAAAAAATAAAAAAAATAAAATAAAAGCCATGGATTTCCGGGAAAACACAGCAAGATTCCATACAGAGAAAGCAAAATTCCCGTTTCTCACTCAGCGGTGCCCCGGAAGTTATTTGTGATTTTTTTTTCCCTCCCCATGGGAAGCAGAGCGGAATAAATCCATGGTATCCAAAAGTACGTTTTGCTATAAAAATAGAGGAAATTAAACAGTCGAGGAAAACCAACAAAATCCAGGAATTTGGGCTGAAAGCATCGGAGAACGGCATCGCCAGGATCATTTTGTGATCGTCTCTCTTCCCGAAATTCTGGCATCCCAAATCCCTGCAGAGGATCCCCCGCACTCACCTTCCAGAGCCCCCCGAGCCCAGCCAGAGGCCAAGGACGGCGACACACGGGAATTTCCTGATGGGAAATGTAGTCGTGGATGTTTTTTTGGGATAGAATTCCTACGTACCAGCCTCTCTCCTCCGGGCCGGGATCCAGCCATTCCAGACAAGGCATTGATTAGGAAAAAATATATAAAATCCTACTTTTCACGTCACCCTGGATCCTTCAAGGGCCACCTCAAAGCTCCTGGTATCCCTAGATATCCCTGTCTGGGATAATGGCTCCTCCCAGATCAGGCTTTGCTACAGGGTCCCAAAAAGCATCCCAAAAATCCTCCCGCCCTGTCCCAGACCTTGGGGACATCTGGGAGAGAGTGACACCAAGTGGTTAAAATCGCACTGCCAGAAAATAATCCAGCAGCCACATTATTCCACGTCTTTTCCTATAAAATACCTGCCTGGATCATCCCAGATCTGCTGGAGAAGGAAGTGGGGAAGGAATTCAGCCCCTGTACAACTCCCTGGTACAGGTGCTGCTGTCTTGGAATTATTATTGCTATTATTATTGTTATTATTATCATTATTATTACTATTATTATTTCCTTCCAATAATTATGAGCTTCTCCTTTCCCAGGACAGGCACCAGGAAAATCATTGGAGAAGAAATAAATATTAGAAATAAATATAAAAATAATAATTATACAAATCCTGCTGTGCATTCAGGACCATCCCTTATCTTTCACCCGTTTCCAAGAGTGCCGAGTTCAAGGCTCAAGGAAATACAGGAAAATAGCCAAAAAGCGGGAATTTTCACCATTTTGTCCCACAAAATATAATTAAAATCCCAGTTCCAGGGTTAGACCTGCCAAAGACATGCTGGAATTTACCATTTCCATTTGTTTTCCGCCTCTTTTTCTTCTTCTTTCTGTTTTTTAGTCTTTTTTAGGTTCTTTTGTTCTTTTTTTTCTTCTCCTTCCTTAGATTTCTCTTTCCCAGTTTTCCCGGGAGTTTCCTCCTCTTCACTCTTTGTCTCTTTTGTCTCCCCCTTTGGCTTTTTCTTCTTGTTTTTCCTCTTTTTCTCTTTCCCTGAAAGATCTCCCTTCCCTTCATCCTCCTCCTTCACCTCCTGCCCCATCCCTGCGCTCCCAGTCTCTCCCAATCCTTCCTCCCCTTTCCCATCCACCTCTTCCTCCTTTATTCCTTTTCCATCTCCACTTCCTTTTCCCACCCTCTTCTCCTCTTCACCTCCCATTCCTTCCTCTCCCTCCTCATCTTTCTCCATCTCTTGCTCCTCTTCCAGCAATTTTTCCTTCTTTATTTTCCTCTTTCCCACCTTTTCCATCCCCTTCACTTTCCTTTTCCTGGGCTTCTTCACTTTCCCTGTCTCCTGCTCTTTATCCCCATCATCACATCCCTGGCTACTGCATCTCTGTCTTTTGGCTCTTCCCTGTCCCCCTTCCCAATTCCTGCCCTCATCCCCCTCAATGCCATCCATCAAATCCTCAAATTTATCCTTCCTCCCTCTTTTCCTCTTCAATCCCCTTTCCTGCTTGTTTTCCTCCTGTTTCTTCCCTATTTTCCTCTTCAATCCCTTTTCCTGCTTGTTTTCCTCCTGTTTCTTCCCTATTTTCCTCTTCAATCCCTTTTCCTGCTTGTTTTCCTCCTGTTTCTTCCCTATTTTCCTCTTCAATCCCTTTTCCTGCTTGTTTTCCTCCTGTTTCTTCCCTATTTTCCTCTTCAATCCCTTTTCCTGCTTGTTTTCCTCCTGTTTCTTCCCTATTTTCCTCTTCAATCCTTTTTCCTGCTTGTTTTCCTCCCGTTTCTTCCCTATTTTCCTCTTCAATCCTTTTTCCTGCTTGTTTTCCTCCTGTTTCTTCCCTATTTTCCTCTTCAATCCCTTTTCCTGCTTGTTTTCCTCCTGTTTCTTCCCTATTTTCCTCTTCGATCCCTTTTCCTGCTTGTTTTCCTCCTGTTTCTTCCCTCTTTTTTGTTCAGGGGCTTGGGAATCCTCTTCCTGCTGTGGGATAGGGGGATCCAGCTCCTTCTCCTCAGTCTCCCTCACAGCTGTGAGCCCCACATCCCTCTCCAAAGGATCTCCAGAGGGGGATGCAACCCCACCAGCAACACTTCCACCTGGGAGCTGTGGGAAAGCAGGAATAAGGGAAGAGATGTTGGGAAAGGACAGAGGTTATCCCAAATCCCAAGTGAAGGAGGAGGAGATGCAGGATTAGGTCTGGGATTTCCCCCCAGTTTCCCTACCCCAATTCCATTCTGGGTCTCCAAGAGCTGCTCTCCCACTGCAGGTCCTGCTCTCTGGGATTTGTCCTGGGATCTACAACGACATCACAGCCAGTTCTCACCACCAGAATTCCCTTCTTCCATCCCAAATTAGGGAACTGCTCCCTCGTTTACCTCCAACCACGGCAGCACCGCAGATGGAGATGCCCCAAGGCAGCAGGGAATGAACCCAATGAATCCAAGCTAGATTTTATGGGATGAGGGAGCTCAAAGGAGCAGAACCACAAGGTCTCCACACAAAACAGGGGAGGTCCTAAGGAAATATTCCCAGAGAAACCCAGGAGAAAAGGTTTGGCAGCACCAACAGCACAAAGGAAGGGATCAGGTCAGTCATGGACACACAGGAAAAGGAGGCAGATGGGACACAACTCCTGGGAATGTGGGGATGATTCCAATGGGGAATGGGGAGGGAAAGAACCTCATTAATACAACAGGACAAGGAGTGTCCAGATCCATGATCTCCACCATCCATATGGGTGAGGAATCCAGGAGTGTTCCCCTGCTCAGCACAGAGCTCAGGTGAATCTTTGGGAATTCTGAGGGATTTTCAGCCATTATAAAGCACCAGCCTGTCCCTGTAATTTCCGCCGAGGCCTCTCCAAGCCAGGCAGGGAGATGTGAGTCTTCAAGTTGTTCATATTCCAGAAATGTCAGGCAAAATAAGAATGAGGAAAGAGCAGCACAGCCTAAACCAAGCTTATGTCTCCTTAGGCTGAGCCTAAAGGGTGGATTTTGGTGGGGTAAGAGGAAAAAAGGCCCCATGGAAAGGGTGGTCAAGCACTGGAAGAAGCTGCCCAGGAACCCCTGGAAGTGTTCCACAAACCTGTGGATGCGGTGCTCTGGGACCTGGTTTAGAGGTGACATTGGATATTTTTCTTAAGAATCTTAAGAATTCCGTGAGTTTAATGTTGAGGTGATGGTGTCCCTTTCCCACAGGGAAACCTGGGGCTTTTCCTTCTGGATCATTGTCACCTCCCAACCAAATCCTCTGGTCTGTCCTGGAGGAAACTAGGATTTTAAACTGAAGCCATGGATCAGATCCATTCCCTGCTTTTCCCAGCTCCCAGATCCTTCAGCAGGAACCCTTTGGAAGCACAGCCAGCTGCCCTGATCCTTCCCCCAGAAAAAAAAAAAAAGAGTTCAAAATCCAGTTTCCTTCTCCCAAGCAGGATAATGATCATTCTTCCTGGACTTCCAAATAGAGAATTCCTGCTTTTAGCCAAAATATGCCGAAATTTCTACAACAGGAAGTGTGAATTTTGGCCCCTCTCTATAAATTAATCTAGGCAGACAATTAATTACCAGGCTGTGGGACATCAAAGCAAGGAAAGCCTTCGAGCTGTGTTGGGATGGAAACAAGTTCCCCAAAAAAAAAACCTCAGGAGCCAGATGCTTTTTCCACACCGGAACACACATTATTCAATCCCCATTAAATTCCTTAGCGAAAATCATCCTGCAAAACATGCTCAGCCCCCCAGTCCCATTGGCAGGGAGCAGATCCATGAGTCAGAAGGCAAAATTTTGGGATCAGCTCCTTCCTCCAAAGGTTTCATTAGAGGCCTCTCACTGGGAATTTTTAAGAGGCAGAGAGGATTAACCAGCCTTAGGAATTCTGCTTCCTATCTCGGCCTGGATCTAGAGGGAAATAACAGCCTTTTCCCAGGATTTGGGAGGGTGGTTGTTCCCACTAGGACTTTCCCAAAATTTATGTAGGAATGTGCACCTGAGCAATCACAACCTGCTGACTGGGGAGGGTGGATGGGGCTGGAACTTCCCTTTCCACCCTCAAACCCCAGGATGGAGCATGAAATTCTACTTGGGATGTTTTTTGGAAAGCTTTGAAGTCATTAAAAACACCAGGATGTGGAGAAGCTGCTCCGGGAAGGCACCAACAACCCAGGAGGGAAAAACCAGGATTGTGCAGCTCCAAAGGGAGAAGAAAAAGGACAAAATTCCAGTTCCCTGAAAGAAAAATAATCAAAAAAAAATGATCCAACTCACCTGGAAGAGTCTTCCAGCCCCACTGGTGGCCCTTGAGGGGGGTTTGCTTTGGTGTCCTCCTGGAAAGTATCAAGGATTTGGGAAAAGTTCCCTGGCACAGGTATCCTAAAGCAGCATCTTCCCCTCCCTCAGCCCCCTTGGCTGGAATTCAGGAACCCAAAATACCAGGTTTTTCCCCAAGTTTTGGAGTTTTATGGGATTAGGAAATCCCTGATTTCCTTCCAACAGCACAACAAAGGAATTCTATGGATAAATATAGGAAAACTCCCAGCCCTCCTCAACCACCTGCTCATTGGAAGCACTGCTGGGAGAGCAATCCAGGGAACAGACGGGATGGGAGGGCTCCAAAATAAAGATGGATCAAATTCCAGGTGCTTGGAAGATGAAATCACCCTTGCAGCAGATGGCAAGAGGGAAAGAGAGGTGGGGAGCAAAGCCATAAGGTGGGAAATACAAGGATGAGAAGGAAGCAGAAAAAAATATGGATCATGGGGATAGGAACTAAAAGAAAATGAGCTTGGAGGGGAAACAAACAGATCCTTAAAATCTGATTCTTAGAGGCCACTTAAAATCCTGGAGAAATAAAAATCAAAATATTTGGAAAATGGGGATACAACCTAAAAGAAAATGAGCTCAGAGGAGATACAAGGAGATCCCTAAAATCTGACCTATGGAGGCCACCAGAAATCCCAGAGAATGGAGAAAAATCCCTCAAAATATAAGGAAAATGGGAAGCTAAAAGAAACCAAGCTCAGAGAGG